TTAGCCGACCTAGGGAGTCAGCTAAGCCGACTTTGGCTGGTTCAACACCCCAAAAGTCGTTTTCTTCGCCCAAGTTTTCAGGTTGTCTTGATGACAGAAACATGATGGTGATGTCAATTATGCACTCTGGACAATTTTGGGTGTCAACAGATGTTAACTCTATAGCCAAGGCCCTTAAGGAGTATAGTGAGGAGGCTGTGAGCCCAACTCAGGTGTACAACCACCTGAGGAAGTGGAGGCAAAAGTGGGCTAGGGTGTGTAAGCTTAAAGAACTTAGTGGAGCCCTTTTTGACACTGATACAAATGCTATAATGCTTAAGGGGGAGCACTACCTTGGCCACTGCAAGGTAGAACACTTAATTCTTACCTTCCTCTACCACTTCTATGTCTTCCAACTAGTTATCTTTAACTGTATCCCCTACTGCATGGCCATCCTAAGGATGCTTTCTAAATAATCCTATAAGGTTCTATTCAGAGATGGAGGCCATCTTTGGCCATGCAATGGCTACTGGTAGGTTTGCTGTAGGATCTGGTGAGCCTCTTGGGGTTAACCAAGCTGAGAGTGTTGCTACTAAGGCTGAGGGCTCTGCCTTCAACCATGTCTATGAGGAGAAAACCACCACTTAAGTTGGTGAGGGCAGCAAGGCTACAGAGCTGCTCAACTCTACTATGGGTGGGAAGAGGAAGAGAGGCAACTTCAGTGAGGATGAGATGCTTTTGATGACCAACATGACAAATGTTGTCAACAATGTTGCCAATGCACTTAGAGAGACTGGACCAGCCCATGTTGATGCTAATCTGTACCTTGCTGTTATGGAGATGGATGGCTTTTCTGAGGAGGCTCTCATAGTGGCCTACACCTACCTGCTAGACAACAAGGCCCAAGGCAGGGGCTTTGTCGACATGAGTGACAGTAATAGGACCATTTGGCTTAGGAACCACCTTGCCAAGAACTACTACATGTAGATGTACTACATGTTGGTCTGCATGGCCAAAGAGGGGGATGATAGTTGAGATGTATAGTTTCTCCACCTCCCTCACTCACTCTCTCACCTTTTGTTTACACTCTGGTGTAGCTTTTGTGCAGGTTAGTTGGCTGATTCAGACCTGTCCTTTTAGGTTAGTTTAGTAGGAGGGTGGCTAACTATAGGTGAACATGGGCACCATGGAACTGTTTTATTACTACAGGACAGACCTGGTATTTGTAATGCACCATATCTATTCATATGTAGGCTCTGTTGGCTACTTTGGTTGCTATGTTATCTGTTGGCACATGTTTATTCTATTTGTTTTCCTGTAAACTTGTTTCTGTTGTATTTGTTTCTATGGCTTGGTGCTTCATGTGGGATTTTAACTGGCTGATGATGCAAACTGATAACTAAAACATGAGGTGGTTGTACAATAGTTCTATTTGCTTGGTTTTTTTCATGGGTGTCATCTAACCCGTGCGACACGTCCATTCCCTAGCAACAGCAGGTTCATACTTAGCTGACGACAGTGAATGGACATGCGCAAGGGTTCCATGCCACTCATGATCTTGGGTTTCCAGCTGTTTCCATCTTCTACTGCCTGCCTCCTTTGCCTTGTTGGTTTTCTAGATTTGGGTATAGCCACCTATGATTGGGTAGACAGAATTATAGCACCAAATTCTAAAGCTGAGGCCACTTATTTTATTCAATGCCTATGATATCATATTTGTTCTGATGTTTTGATGAAACTGGTCATCGGTGAGGAATTTGGGATCAATGATTTGTTTCATCGCAAACCGTAGATCTTCAAGTTCTGCACTCATGGCTAGCTTCAACCTTTACATTTGACTAAGGCTAAAACATTGTTTGATTCCAGAGGAAATGGGCACTTGCTATGTTGTTTTCAAGGGGAAGAAATCTTGGATTTACCTGGCTTGGCATGAGTGCAGTGAACAAGTTCTTGGCGTCAAGAATGCCATTTACAAGAAGTACAATAACTATGACATTGCTTTGAGCGATTTCAATTCCTATTTTGGAGCACCAACACCATCTACTAAGGTGTTCCCCACTGATGGTTGTCAAACCATCCCTCCACATCCTGGTAACCATGGCTCTTGGAAAAAATGTTGTCATTATGCCTTTACTCATGCTGGTGTTTGGTCTTTGGATCAGGTTGTCCATGTCCAGCAATTGTAACCGCAATACATAGGCCGATGATGACTCAAAGGGAGGATTAGCTGGCTTCATGTGTTTTTGTTTTGTGAAATCCATTTTTGTGATTTGCCTCTGCCACCTTATCAACACACGCCCTTGAGTTGCTGGCTGCCTATGGCAGAACTGTCGCTGTTCTTACTTGTTCTCTGAACTTGGAGCCAGCTAGCTAATAGCTAGTAATTAATTGATTATTAGTCCCAGGCCTATTAGTTTTAACAGTTCCAGTTGTATGGATTAATTATGAACTGTTAGTGTATTGGATTGTCAATCTAAATTTCATTTGCAATTGCTCTTGTATACATTGTTTTACTTCTTATGTGCTTCCTGATCATAGGTTAGGCCGGCCCACCCATCTACCAAACACAATCTCAGTTTGGTGGTTGAAGATAGTTGGTCCTTTTAGACAAGCTGCATGAAGGAAATCAAACACAATCTCAATGTGGCTAAGCCCATTTGATACATGGTGTCAAATATGAGCAGTTGCACCAAATTAGATAGGCCTAGGCCTATCCGGCGGGCCGAGCCGACCTCAGCCACCTTATCAAACACGCCTAGGTACACCGTACCTGATGCGTGAGCTCGCACCCATTGAATTAAACAGTGGTTGCTCAAAAAATTGAATTGAACAGTGAAAACACACGACGCCAGCGTTGGCTCGTCCCAGACCCGGACAGGCGGGATGTGCTCGCCGTGGGCTGAAGGGCGGTGTCTGGCGGAATGCGCCCGTGCAAGCAGCGGTGGTCTGCCTGCCTGCCCTGCCCTGCTGGTGTTTGACAAAATGCGTGCGTAAGGATGGGCCGTCCAGGGACGGCGGCGGTGTGCACTGACCACCTACCATCTTGCCTACACTCCTGCAGGCACGATTGGACCTGCAGGCACATACCATGCCGACATGTCGGACTGTACCAGGTTCGTGCCCACTGACCAGCTACCATCCTATCTCGTTAGGTGGTGTTTGGATCCGGTGACTAAAATTTAGAAACTATATCGGAAGAACATTGTATGCGATGTTCGGATACTAATAAAAAATAAATTACATAATCCGTCAGTACTCCACGCCTAATTAATCCATCATTAGCACATGTTACTGTAGCACCACGTTGTTAAATCATGGACTAATTAAGCTTAAAAGATTCGTCTCGTAAATTAGTCGCAAACTATGTAATTAGTTTCGTAATTAGTCTATATTTAATACTCTATGTATGTGTCAAATATTCGATAGAACAACGACTAAAATTTAGACACCACCTTATTTCTCTGCACGTTCTTCTGATGACGTTGCCGTGTTGAAAAGCTTCTAATTTCAACAGTTCAAATAGCTTCTAATTTCTTTGAGGTGGATCGACTGGGAGAGTACGGAAAACTAGACGTGAATTTCTTGTTAGAATTCCTGGAACGGAAAGAAAGAGTTGATTAGAAAGTTTTTAGCGCAAAGTTGTGATTGGTCACCACTTGTCCACTTCGTTCCATTACCACTATAAAACAATTCAGCCTTCATCCCGGTGGTACGTACTTCAAATGGCATTAACTTACTATGAATTAATGCAACTTGGGTTCCTTGTGATGTGGACAATCGGCCAACTTATGCAAAGTACACGTTGACTTAAGGGCTCGTTCGGCTGGTCGCAAGTTCAGCCGGATTTCATATTGCGTGAATGAAAAATACTGTTCATTCTCTCATAAATTTATCTAGATTTCTCCAAATTTCTTCCAGCGAACAGAGCCTTCGAAAAATATCGGCGTGAGTCCTGCCAGTAGGACCCACCAACTACTCCAACAACCAATGTACTACAGTTTTATAATAGCTGGAGGATCAAGATTGAACAAAAATACCAGTGACACATGTTCAACTAACTTATGTACCCAAACTGATATAGTTAATTATTATAATTTTTTGTGCTAAGCTGACACCAGTTCAGGCCTTACTTAGCTCTTCAGGCTTTGTTATCATTTTCAGCGTGTATTTCCTTGCCACCAAACTTACCTGGGGGAGGTGGATGGCAGCGAGAGTTCATCTATCATGATGGACGGTGACTGAACCTCGAACTCGAACTATGTCATGATTATTGCATACTTACAATTTTAAAAGGTTGTCAGAAAGAGTAATTCATTTTTTAAGACAATGCCCTTTGGCAGTACAACAAGACCAATGCCAAGTCTCCAAAACCGGGTCAATTTAGAGGACAAAGACAAGTCTGCATGTTCACACATACCTCGTGCATTTATTAAAACTAAAGCATTTATCAGCTTTCACACTTACTAACTGAAAATTGCAAATCAGGAAAGTACATTGATGTTCTTTAAAGATGAAATGACAAAAATAGAAGAAAGTGGAGTAAAAAATAACCTTACTGGTAATCCTACAAAGCAACACAGATTGTGCTCTAAGCATATCATTTGGTGGACTAGTTCTTTCGGCCCTTCATTGGAAACTTCATTGGATGTTTCTGTAGGTTGTTGTCATAATTAATAATGTCCCCTCAGAGTTAAGTGGACATGTGGAAATTTGTGATGTGAACCTAACATAATTGATTGGAGTCAGAGCTGTTCGTGTGGTCCACTGCAAGAAACTTCAATGACTAGATGAGGCTGCACTTCACTGTGTCTTTTTTGGCTGCTGACACTTCTGTCTGTTTGAAGCGGCCCATGTCTTGCACATAGCTTCCATTGTCTCTTATTTCTTATCTTCACCTTCTCCTTCTACCTAGTGGAGGTGTATCCAAACGGAGCGAGCTCTGCATATAGCTCATGCTCTTTTTTCAGATGTTAGAATCTTCAGAGACAAAATAGAGATTTGCTTTGCTCCAAGATCAAGCTATGGAGTCTCAACAGCAGCCTAACAATAGCCATATGCCTAGCAAATCTTCTGAAGAACAACATGCGCTGCAGGAAGGCCAGGCTGTCCAGCATCCTAGCGCACTTCAGGTTCAGGCTGACCTCCTATGGAAGCTGAGGAAGTACTTGATGCTGCTGGCTATCCTAGCTTCAGCCATCACCTGCCAAGCAGGGTTAGCTCCGCCGGGTGGGTTCTGGCAAGACAGCCTGAATGGTCACATCCCCGGTGATATTGTGCTAAGAGTTAGCTACCCCAAGCGTTACTATGTGTTCTTTTACTGCAACACAACAGCGTTTGGGGCATCACTCATTGTCCTTATACTGCTCCTGGTCAGGGAATTGAGCCGCAATGTGGTTTGGCTTCGGGCACTACAATTTGCAATGGTACTGGGCCTGCTTGGGCTCATGGGTGCCTATGCTGCAGGGAGCTGCAGGGAGGTGAGGACCTCACTTTACATTTGGGTATTACTTGTTGGCATATTTGCATATATCACGCTCCATGTCATATTCTTCCGGTAACTGGCGCCTAAATGTCTGTGGGATATGTTCATGAATATCCGGAAATACTGGAAGGATATCCTTGCAAGCATTTTCAAGAAAACACAGAGCAATGAGCCAGAAACTCCGATGAATGATCGGGAGGCTCATGATGAGGAGGAAGAATTGGAGCGGAATCGCAGTTTCTTGCTGGTTCTTGCCACATTAGCAGCGACAGTGACATATGTTGCAGGGCTAAGCCCACCAGGTGGCTTCTGGCCTGATGATGACAAGCCTAACCACCTTACCGGTGATCCAGTTCTGCGAGATCATTACCCCCGTCGATTCAAGGCTTTTATGGTCTGCAATGCAACTTCTTTTGCTGGATCCCTTGTGATCATCATTATGCTCCTCAGCAATACAGCAGTGGATCATGTTGTCAAGTCAAATGCTCTGCGGTTGTGTGTGCTGGTGAGCCTCTTTGGGCTTATGGGGGCTTATGCTGCTGGGAGTTGTAGGGAGGTCCGTACATCTATCTATGTCTTCTCCCTCGTTGGTGCAGTTTTGCTCTACCTTGCTCTTCAGTGGATTGAACCTATTGTGACAAAACCAGAGTGTATAGAGAAGTCAATTGGATGGATGAGAAAGAAGAAGACCGAAGTGCTCTAGAAACTGAGCTCTTTCATTGTGAAGGGGAGTGGGAATCCAGATGATGGCAAGCATACTACCCTGTCAGGGCCCAATACACAACATACGTCAAACAATTTTAGTGATGCTAAAGATGACATCCAAAAACTGCGCACATATCTCCTATTGCTTGGTATCCTTGCTGCCACTGTCACATATCAAGCTGGACTAAATCCACCAGGTGGCTTTTGGGATGATGGGCATATTGCCGGGGACCCAATCTTGGAGACCATGCATCCAAGGCGTTACAAGGTGTTCTTCTACTGCAATGCCACAGCATTTGTAGCATCTTTGGTGATCATTACCTTACTTCAGAGCCAACTGATTACCGTTAGTGCCATGAAGCGTCACATACTGCAAACAGCCATGACACTGGATCTCTTTGGACTTATGGGGGCCTATGCTGCTGGAAGCAGCAGAATGTTCTTGACGTCCCTATATGTGTTTGTCTTGGTCCTTCTTGTTTTCACCTATGTTGTAATTCATGTTCTGCTATCTTTGGCTCTCAAGAGACGACTCAGAAGAGATGATGCTGTGGAGAATGAAGATGAAGAGAAGGATTTGGAGAAGCGGCGCAAGTTTCTGATGTTGCTTGCAATTCTGGCTGCTTCCATCACATATCAAGCTGGCATAAGCCCACCAGGTGGATTCTGGAGTGACAGTAATGGCCACCAAGCAGGTGATCCAGTGTTCCATGATGAATTCCCAACCCGCTACAGGATTTTCTTCTACTTCAATGCAACAGCTTTCATGGCATCCTTGGTTGTGATTATGTTGCTTGTTAGTAAAAGGCTATGTCACAAGGGTCTTGAGGTCTATGCGCTGCACACATGTGTTTTGGTTGATCTGATCAGCCTTTTGGGTGCTTTTGCTGCTGGAAGCTGCAGGAAAGTTTCAACATCTGTGTACGTCATCCTTGTCGTTGTTGCAGTGTCTGTTTATGTGATGATTCAAGTTGTGGTTCTGACATTTGCAAAAGACAAGGTGAACAATTTGTTGGAAAGGATAAGGATGTACACCTTTAGGTCTTCTGTGCTCCAACAACCATCCATGAATCACGAAAGAAGCATCCGAACTAGAAAGAGAACTGAACACAAATGGCGCAAAGATTTGATGCTGATCGGGACTCTCGCAGTCACTGTCACATACCAAGCTGGGCTGCTCCCACCAGGTGGGTTTTGGCCTGATGATCAGGTAGGCCATTTTGCAGGTGACCCAATCCTCCATGATACCCATCCATCACGGTTTAAAGTGTTCTTCTATTGTAATGCCACAGCATTCATGGCATCAATGGTCATGGTCATCCTCTTGTTGAACAACACAATAAGCAAGTACAGGAGATCTCTACTTGCTATGAAGACAGCAATGGTATTGGACTTGTTTAGTCTCCTTGGAGCATATGCCGCAGGAAGCTGCAGAAAGTTCAAGACATCTGCATACATTTTTGCACTTGTCATTGCTGTGTTCATTTACATTGTGATTCATGTGTTGCTGTCATTCGATGAGGTGGCTTTATTGGTCAGAAAGAAGGGAGAAAAGTGGATTCCTTGCCTGGAAAAAATGTCGGCACCTATCGAAATTGATCCTTTAAGCCTTCAGCCATCTGCTGGGCGACTGGGGGAGATGCCTCTTGCTGTGTAATTGTATTCTTGATGTGACATTTATTGAATTGATGTGCCTGATATATACAACTTAAAAGTTTTTTATCTCAATGTTTCTGTTTTCATAAAGTCATTGTATAGCATTATTCCCTTGGTGATGTTTTACTCTTTGCATTTGCAAAAATCCGTACTGAGGTTTGAAGGTAGTTCTTTCTCAGTTAACTATCTGCACACTACCTTTTAATGGAAATTGTTAAATGAGTAATGCATCAGAGCCACAGGGTAATGTAATGTGTAGGATGCTAATTGACAGTATCCCACCTAGTGAGTTGGGACAAAATAACCTTCACAACTAACTTATTAATTGTAACAACTTATGCAAATAGAGAAATTGATGAGTCTTTCAAAAATCACTGAATAAATGTAGATATGTTGACACTGTAATTGGGCCCATGCCAATTTTAAATAGGGCCATGACAGTTTTGGCCCAATCTAAGGAGAACTCTATAAAACGACATGATAATAGTATCACATTGATTTTTCTACGGGTTAAGTTGTTCCAATTAATAAGTTAGTTGTGAAGGTTATTTTGTCCCAACTCACTAGGTGAGCTACTTCAATTAGCATCCTACATATTACATTACCCTGTGGCTCTGATGCATTACTCATTTAAGGGGTATATGGTCGATTGACTTCCCGTCTATCCAATCGAGCAAAAATCAATCTACTACCTCTACTCCAATCCTTTTACTCTCTTTTCTAACCCCATCCTATTCATCCCTTGATCAGACGACCAAGGATGGCGCCCTAGGTTTGCCGGCCGACCTAGGGCAACCCGGCGACGTCCTTGCCCTGACGGGTCCCTCCCGGGTCAGAGCTTCAACGGTTTCTTTGCTAGTTTGCCTGAAAACTAGCCGGTTCTTCGTTACACAAGCACGTTGATTATCTTTTGGTGGTTTGCTAGTAAACCTCTCCGTCCCTCACCATGAAAGAGTGACATCCTCACTGCGTTCTTCATTTTGTTACTAACACCGGCATGGGCGGCGGCAGGGGTATGCCCCTGTATGCCTTGGCATACACATGATTTAGGAGAAAAAAATAATATGTATAATATACACTAATACATAGGTTTATACGTATCTTGGAAGAGTCACTCGAAGGCCCAATACAACAAAAGTTTCTGGCAGCCCACGAACGAAGCCCCAGAATACATCTCCGTGACTTCGTCGCTCGGTCGCCCCTGCCCAGCGCCCCTTTCCCTCCTTGTGTGCGGCTTCACGGTAGCGTTCTGTCTTCGGTGTGTGCTCGATCGGGTCGACGATTCATCTGCCGCTACCCCCACAAGCGAAGCATTACACTATTCATCTACCGCAATATCGCAAGAATCGAGCATCGACCCCGTCTACCGAGTGTCCTCTTCCTGCCTAGTGCCTTCCGATCTTGGCCTGCTTGTGACTCTGAATCTGTGCCTGGACTGGCTGGAACAGGTAAGTTAATTAGACCTATAGAGTCCTGGCGTGCAAGCAAATTCTTAATTTACTAATTTACTAATGTTGTTGTCGACTGATTTGATTTGTTTGTGTTTTCTTTTGTTCTGATTAGAGTGAAGAGCTGAAGACATTAGACATTTAGGCATGGGACTTGATTTAATATATATATATATATACACACTCTATGAATTTATTTAAATTAATTCAATCCACATCATGTCTACTAGAAATAGAAAATATGATTCTTGAGGTTAGTAATTTTTTTACTGTATTTCTACATATGGTACAAAAGAATACATATTAAAGTTATAAATTTAAGTGAAAGTATGTCTATAATACATGTTAAAGTCATATATTTCACTGAAGCTATGATTTAATTTTATTAGCCATACAACTTGTATAAACTTTAGGGCCCCGATTTATCATCGCTCCAGCCCCAAATTTCTCGAGATGGCCCCGAGCACGGAGCACCTCCCCTACTGCGGTGACTGGCACCGCCGGGCAGCACCTCGCCACGTCCCCCACTACGGCCGACTTGCCCCCTGCACTCCCCCTCGCCGGCTCGACCGAGTCGCCCCCTGCGGGCTGCGGCCCTTGCCCTTTTCCTTGCCGCGGCTGCTTCGAAATTTTATACATGTGGCATACCCAGCCATAAATTCCTGGCTCGCCATGCTCTCCGGGACTATCTGTCTGTCCTTCTTGTATGTTGGATCGTTCGATGATTGTGCAACATGTTGGTGGGGGATCTCTAATGTGTGTTCATCATGATTGAGAGATCTCCCCCACACTTATTCTTGTACCTGTTTTATTTGATAAAGAGAAACAAAAGTGGAAACAAACAAGGGTTCTCCTAGTTGAAAACACTGGGAAGCCTTAATTTTATTATAATCATTATTACTCTCTTTTTTTATTTATTAATTATTTTTTTTATTTTATGTGTTCACCCAACTTTTTATCATTTAGCATAAACAAGGCTAAGGTAAAGTTTGCAACAATAAAAATAGCCTTGATTTATCTCTATAGTAGATTACTTCTATTGTTTATGAAAATAATGACTCAAAGTTCATTAACCAAGATTAAACACCATGTCTAATTTTGATTAAAGGAGACCATTTTAACCTAAGCACCATGCTTAATTTAAAAGGACCAATGGATGTACCACATGGGCCCATGTGAACACACCCAAACTTAGAGCATATGACGTAAACAAGAGATGCATGAATTTGAATGATTGTATTCTTATGGAGACGAAAATGAGTTAAAGGAATTGGTGAACACCTTTTATTTATAGTAATCATTTTTTATAATTAAAATTCTTTTGTATATATAGCAAGGTAGGGATAACATCATCATTTCTCTGTTTTTTAAGCAAGATGATCATTGGTGTATATGGAACTTTCAGACTCTCACCATCCTCCCCCACACTTGGACTTTTGTGTGAAAGTCAAGTGTGCAGGATTAGGGTCTCCTTACCAAAGATCATCAAGGCATGTAGTCAATGCAGCTCTCATGTTTTCAGGCATCGTATGTCCCTGTTCTTCTTGATCTTAACCTAAAAGGGTTAAAACACAAGAATACCTGAAGGTGCATACAATCCTAACAACAAGTCTTTGCTTTTTATTAATAAGGAAGTTGTCTTTTTATAAATGTTATATATATATATGTTTTTATGATAATCCATGATATCTCCCGGTAGTGCTTAATTATAGTATTAAGCTTGATCGTGGGAACTTCATCCTGTAGCTAACAATGGTGGTTTAGTTCCTAGCTTCACCACCAGGCATTAAGATTATCATTCAAGCTGCAAGGTTAGTACCACAACGTATCCATGAGATTTACAATATTTGTGATAAACATATGCATCCACAACCATCCTTCCAAAAAGTTTATAAACTAAGAGATGGTTGTGGTCCTTATAAAAGTGTGTGGCACTAAGCGTGATCAACTCTGGAGACTCTAGAAGTGAGCATGAAATGCGGGGGGTCTCAAAAGAGGAACCTTCATGCTTGTTAGTGGAATAATTCTTTTTGAGCTCCAGAATTGGTGCTCCAAGATTGTCTATGGCACAGAGGTTTTGGCTAGAGGGACATGATTTTGTTTCGAGTGAGGTTGGCGATGGACGTTCGATTTCATAAGCAAACGAACGGATATAAGAATTTCACCTCCTCGAATGGGTCATTGTTGGGATGATGCCCCGCCATCAGGATTTCTGCGTGAGGGATAGAAGTGGAAAAAGCAGTTATTCCCAAATTTTCATCAAGGCTCCCATGGTAAGATTTTTCTTGAAAAAGTTTTTCAGAGAGGTAGCCTATAAGAAGATCAAAATAGAGGATGGCATAGATGTGGAAGTCTAGGTATACCTCAGCTTCGTTAATTTCAATCGGCACAACCCTAACGATCCCACAACACTCGAAAATGAGTCCCGAGGGACTTTTTTAAAGAGTTTGTTGGTCAGGACTAGCGGCATGTTACCCAAAAGATTTTTTACTAGGAATTCTGACATGATACTAGTCCCGACTGTGGGGTTGTATAGGGCTTCTATGTTTGTTCCCCTTAATGAACAAGGCATGGTCATGGAAGGTGAAAGAATCTGAATTGCTTTAGAAGAACGTTTTACTTCCAACAACCATTCCTTTGATGGCTCTATTTTAGGGGAAACTTCCTCAGAAGGACGTGTAAGCTTTTCATGCCCACAATATTTTGAGGTATTGCCGAAATCCCCGAATTCGATAGGGAACTCCGAATGATAAATCACTCTTTCCTTCGGGGTTCGTGGTTCGGGTGAGGGCTTATTAGTCGAATCTAGGGATGGTATGAGTTTTGATTCGACTGATGAGAACACCTCAATGCTCAACATGACTTTTGCCTGGAGGATTCTATTTCTCTTGATGGAGAAAGTGTAACTTTCTAGGAAGTTTTCAAGGAATCTCACTTGTCCTATCATGGGTTTGTGTGTAAACTGGCCTCCAGCCATTGAGTCTAGGCATAGGTCAGCATTTATGTCAATACCTAAACAAAAGAGACGCAACAATACGCCATCGGGTAAAGACAAGTTTGGGCTAGTATGTATTAACATTGAAAACCTGGCCTAGGCTGCACCTATAGACTCCTTCTTGCGCTGCTCAAAGTCGAGGATTGCCCTTGGTAGAGAGTCGATACGGGACATAGGGAAGAATGCAAGATAAAACGTGTCTTTAAGTTCATCCCAGACCCCATTCGTACTTTCTATGACGTGTGTGAACTATTGCTTCGCCTTCCCTATGAGAGAGAAGGGAAACAATTTCCACTTTAGAGTTTCTTGTGTCATGCCTGAGATGCTCAGGCATGAACATATTTCCTCGAACTTGTGCATGTGATGGTAGGGGTTTTCATTATAGTGCCCTGAGAAGGGTTGTGCTCAAACCATGGCTATTAAGCCAGGGCAGAGTTCACAGCCAGATGAAAATTTTTGTTTTGAAGGTGGCTCGGGGAACTCGCCCTTAGAAAAGATAAAAGAAAAGATTTTTGTTTTTTATATAAAAAGGAAAAGATACAGATATGAGGATGAACT